TTTTTCCGAGAGAGTTAAGTTTTATGAGGAAAAGTTACAATGTGATGATTCATTATGTAATATACGTATGTTAGATAATTCTTATAAGGCTATTATATTAAATATTACTTTGAATGTATCTTCATCGACTGATCATTTGGCTGTAAGATTTAATTTTGTTTTTCCAGAAATGAATGTTAAAATTCCTCCACGTTTGAGATTTAATATGCACCCATTTAACAGAGGACAGTTAGTTATACTAAACTTTTCTGCTGTTATCAGAAGAACATATAATTCTTTGTGGACTAAAATATTTGGATTTGAGCCAGAATTAGAAGAAGCAATTATTAATACTGAAATAAAAGAACTTCAACAAACTTTAAATTCCCAATATACTATTTTGGTATTGCAACCAAAAGACAATATTACATATTACGAAAATTATATTTCTCGCCGTAATAGTAAGTATATGAATCATTATTTGAAATTTTTTAATAAATTATAGTTTTTATAAAACCATGTTTTATAGTTGGTTCCATTGTCTCAAATACTGGCGGTCTTTATGGTGCACTTATCGGAATATATATTCTACTTTTCGGATCTATAAAGCTTTCTCCTTGGTAAGATAATTTTATTCATTTAGTTGACACATCAGCAATAAACATAAATTTTTATAATTGGCATTGTTAAATATTATCCATTACAGGGGTATTGTACAAAAATATACATGCTGTTGGAATCTTCGTGAAGATTACATGCATCGATTAATGAAACGATATGTTTCTAAAGCTGGGATTCCTTTGGTTGAAAATCCATCTAAATTGCCTCCAAATGCCACCATCGAAAATAGAATTGCGGCATTAGAAACATTAATGAGAGAATTTTTCTTGGATGATAGTTCTTTAGTAAAATTAAAAGAAATACATACAAGATGCATTAGATACCAAGATAGAAATAATGCCTTGATGAGAGATGATTCGTTACAGAATGATATTTTTATAAATGTCAATGAGAATGATGTCTTGATGAATGATAGTACATTTCAGAATGATGTTGCTATAAATGGTAATGAAAACGACACGCTAATGAAAGATGGCATTTCACAATAATGATTCGAAGAAGGGAGACAAACAATAGCATATTTATTGTGGGTATATACAGTATATTTAGCAATAAACGTCTAATTATACTGCTCCATTATGATTATTATACTGTCGTGGTTTTCAAAATTATAAAGACATATATAATGCTGTGGTGTTCTGTTTAAATATTATGTTTTGTAAAAATTTAGGTTAGGTATTTGATTAATGTTAAAGAAAGAAGCTTTGAAGGAAATGCGCATTTTACTTAGAACAGCATAAATTATATTTAAATGGTAAAAATATAAATTTGATAAATAAATACATCAGTCGATATTTTTGAATTCATAAAAGTTTTCATCAATATCATCTTTATATTCATGAGCTTCATTAGAGTAATAAGAACATCGAACTAATAACAAAAATAACAATTAGATAAATTTATAAAAATTAAAAATATTTAAAGTTAAAACTTACTATAATCTTTCAAGCCTTTACCAAAATTTTTTTGGCACTCATAAGAACAATATATCATATACAATGTATTGCAAATCAAGCATGAAGCTACAGAATTGAAAATAAGTGAAACACTATATCGAAACAGTGAAATATAATTACCAATATACATACATATTAATAATATGAAAATCACCAAAATAATCAAGATTAATCCAAGACGTGTATTTTTTACTACTGATGTATCAATATGTAATTCCAAACTGAAGGATATTCCAATAAATTCTAACATTATATAATATGCTAATTGTATTACACTAACTATATAGTAAATGTACATAAATATTTTTGATTCTGATCGCACCTTTAATATATATAATTAATATTATGCATAATAATAAATCTGATTTATCGAAAAATCATACATTACTTACTCCTTTATAAACAATTAAGACATTAGATATGAGTAACAGAATTAATAACGACCAAGCGCCATCAATTAAAGAGGGATTAGCCGAAATCCAAGATTTAAATGATCCAATAGTAGTCAAGACAGCAACGTAAGAATTGATATAGACACAAGGAATTAATCTTTTATACCAAATAAATAAGCCTGTAATTTGAAGATTTGTAAATTAATATACTGTAATACACAGTATAATGCGAACATAAAGACTCACATCGAAGATTTTCTGCACAAAAATCATCGGTGACTCTAATATTTGTATAATATAGATAATTATAAATAATTAAGCAAATATTGGATATAAACAAGTTAAATTTAAAATTTACCGTAATGCATATGATATGTAAAGATGAAAAATTACAAAAGTGGTGAAATCAATGCATATAATATACTTGCAAGTTAAAAAAGTGGTGACAGAATTTTGATCAAGTAACTCTAGATTTATATTATATAAAAACAAAAAAACATAAATGGCCGCTCTAATAAGAATAGAAGTCAGCCAAAAAGTAAAGAAATGGACTTTTCTTCTGAAAACCGTCTAAATCCGAAATGAATAATAAATCACTAATGAAGACATCATTCAATAAAATTATGTAAAAAAAAATATTGAAACTTACAGCTACATGAGCGGTTATAACACAATAAACAGGAAAAGAGATAATATCCAAGATTAATGTCGTTCCCTGTTTGTAATAGTCAGACTTAGGATCATTACTAAGTGCAATAATTAGCAGAGCAAATAATGATCCTTCTAAAATAATAAATCCAATTATAAAACTATTTATGATTTTTTGATTATGAAAGAACAAATCTTTAATTCGTTTGATGTTATACATCTTTTAATAAATAAATAAAAAAAAAAATGAATAAAGAAAGTGCGATCAAAACATCAAAAGAGCCAAGTTTTTGAAAACCGAAAAACAAGTAAATAATAACACATATAGAATTTGTACTCTGACAATTACTTTAAGATAAACCACTTTGGTAATACTGTAGCTGAGCTGACTAATCAATATGTATATTTAAACTATAGTTGTTAGACGAAACCTTTTTCACATGATGACGAAAGACGAAACCTCTGACAAAAGTCGAAGCGCCAAATTCTTCTGACGAAAGACGAAACCTTAAACATAAAATGACGAAACCTAACACTCAAAAAACGAAACCCTAGTGCTCCTGCTAAAAAAATAAAAAATAAAAAAAAACCCCGAAAAGAGAAAACAAACATTATTTTCTTTGAATTAACATTCATAATATTCAGAGATCAGTATCCAAAATTACATGTATGCCAGCAAAAAAACCATTTCATTTTCTGAACAATGCTAGGGCTGTTATAGTCCGGTTGAAAAATAGCCTTGTCAAAAAGCCATAGTACTCATAGAATAACACAAATAATGTATTAAAACATACTAGCACAAAATAAATTTGTAATATCACAAAGTAAGCACCAAGCGATTTTTCACTAGAACTGATATATAAATATGTAAATTTATACTTATCGTTATATAAAACCGGAATTGAACTTTAAATTAAAGTAGTTTTTTGTATTGGCATTAAATTAGCGCCAAATTTTTTTATACTTTCGATGTATAATTCATTTATGATCAGTTAGAATTTTCGGTCTTTTTCTAGAGCAACAAACATACAAAATAAAATTTCATGCAATTTACTCACCGGAAAGATTGTTGTTTTTAAAGTACGTAATATATATAAATCCATATCAGACATATCAGTATCAGGAGTGATTGTGATTTGACGCGAATACTCTTACAGAAACACGCGATTTTGAAGCCTGAAAATTTATCTTAAATGAATTGGCTGACCTTTATACAGTTCATCCATAAATTCCCACTTCCTAAAAACCGGTTCATGTTATACAAAAATTCAGCAACAAGCATTTTTGCAATATTTCTCGAAGTGACTTTGGTATGTTTTAAAGGTTTAAACA